AGATTTTTTTTTTTTTGAGTAGGTGAAAGAAGCCATTCTCTGCCTCTTTTCTTACCTAGCCTTAATCACTGAATGGGTGTTTCCTCAGTCAAACTGAGACCTGGGAAAGACCTCAGCTTTAAAAGGTCAAGGTCTCCCACTGCATCCAGGGCCATCTCCAGCCATCCTTATCTGTATCTTGCCACTGGCCCCAGATAGCTCCAGAGGAATGAGGCTAGTGACTCTGCACAGCCCTCCCTCACTTAAATTCAATTCACCTGTTTGTCATGGCATCACTTCCCTGATGTCATGGTCCTCTTTGAGAAGGAAGGACAAATAACAACAGGATTTTGAATATCTAATAAAATAGTGTGTATAAAGTGCTTTGCAAGTCTTTTACATAGTACTCCCTCAAGGGCTAATTCTCCAACTTTCAATAACATGTATGGGTGGACAGGGTCCCAAGTGGGCAGCTGACTACTTCTTCCCTCAGAGTTCTAGGGATAATCCTAGTTACCTACTCTTAGAACCACAAAGTATGTGGTGAGAAAGAGGCTTCTGATAAGGCTCATGGCTCATCAGTTACTGAAACAGAAATGTGTATGAACAAAAGGAGTAACCTTACCCTCTGTCAGCTGTTTTTTTTTCCTTCCCAGGGCAAGTAAAGCAAAACTTCCATGATGTGGCAGGTAGGATCCAGGGCAGCCATCTTTCTCTCATCTGGTTACCATGTGTTCGCAAACACATGTTGCTTCTGTTTCCTTTATATTTATTCATTCTTTCTTGATCCTAGGTGAATAACTATTCCCAGAGAGGAGTGCACTAGCAACCACAAGATACATCAGAGCCACCCAAGGTCCCACTGGCAACCAGTCAGTAGCAGAGCCTACTCTAACAGTAGGGGCCAGTGACAGAGGAAAACCTACAGATAAAGGTGGAAAACAGACCCCCAAGAATGACTGTAGCTTCAAGGATTATAACCCTTTGGGATTAGGAAAAGCGCTGGTCATAATTCTTGGAGTGCAGGAGATACACCTAAGAGGAACCTCACAAAAGGAAGAAAAGAACTTCCAGCACCAGGAATCAGGGAGTTCCCCTTGGCCATTTGTTCTCTATACTTATGCCTCATTACCAGTGTATTTTAAGTTTGAGTTTACTGCATTCACGGGCCTTGTATGTGCAAGGGGAAGAGTATGCCCCAAGCTTAAGAATAATGTTTTTGTAAATACTCTTTTTGCTTTACCTTCTTAGCAAATCCCTTTTCTCAGAGCAGTAGAGTTCTATAGGTGGATTGAAAATGGGGAGCACACCAGATTGGGGCTTGTGAGCAACAATACTAAAAACTTCACCCCTTCGAGATGCTCACGGATACATAGCAAAAGGGTGGGAGATAAGACTGCCCGTCTTTTCCCTGCACTGAAGCTCATAGTAGTTCTATTGTTGTTCTACTGGATTAGAATGAAGCAGGGGATATCTATCATGTTCTGTAAAACTGAGCAGGAAGGTCAAATATCAGTTTGTTCTAAAGATTGGGTCCTCATTGGCTAGTTCCTCATTACACTCAGCTTACTATATAAAGAAGTAGTCCCACCCAGCGAAAATGAGCATGATCTTTCAGGGGAGGAGATGGATATTCCATGAAACAGAGGACTTCCAAACCTTCCTGATAAAAAGACTAGAGCTCAACAGAAAATTTGATCTTCAAATACAAGACTCAAGAGAGACATAAAAAGGTAAATGGGATAGAAAGAAACAATGTTATTAATAAGGACAAACTGTTTATATCCCTACAAGGGAAGATGACACTTGCAACCCTTCAGAGCAATATTGTTAAAGGGATATACATAAAAGGGGTGGGTATAAATTGACTTTGATGTGATGATAAAAAAAATCTAATCAAGTGGGTTAAATGGATCCAAGTAAGTGGATTAATCTGATCTAACTAAGAAAATGTACTCAGAGAAAAGGAAAGGAGGAGGCAGACAAGGAAAAGGCACAAAAACCAATTAAAGCAGAGGGAAAGAAGGGAGATGAGCATTGTTTGAACCTAGTTCTCATCAGATTTGGCTCAAGGAGGGAATAACATAACCAGTTAGGTACTAATATTGATAGATTTCTCAGCAATACAAGGATCTAAGACATCTCCAAAGGCCTCAAGATGGAAAATGCTATCCACATCCAAAGAAAGAACTATGGAGTTTGAATGTAGATTGAAGCATACTATTTGCTATTTTTTTTTCTTCTGTTGTGATTTGTTTCCTCTTTCTGGTGGTTCCTCCTGTTGGTTCTAATTCTTACTTACAACATCACCAATGTGAAAATGTTTAATAGGAATGTATATGTATAGCCAATATAAGATTTCGTGCCCTCTTGGGGAGGGAGGAGGAGAAAAATTTAAAACTCAAAAGCTTATGGAAGTGATTGTTGATAAATCAAAATAAATTAATTAAAAAAAAAGTAGTCCACATCTTAAAGGAGCTTATACTCTACGGGGGAAATATGTACAAATAGAAATACAAACAAAATAAACACATACTTTTTATTATTAAAGTGTGGCATCTAGAAGTGACACAATATTCCAGATATAGTTGGATCAGAGCAGACTAGGACAACTACTTTACCTTATTTTGGGTATTATGGCTCTTGGAGTAATATAGCCTTGAATAAAGATTTACCATAGTTACTCATTTTGAGCTAAATCTTCAGGGTTTTTTTCCTCATAAGTTGCCTATGTGTGTTCAGCTCATCCTGTACGTATTTAATGGATTTTTGGAACCCAAGTGTAGAACTGCATTTACCTTTATTGCATTTCATCTTATTAAATTAGCCCACCATTTTAAGTTGTTGAGATATTTTTGGATCCTGACACTGTCTTTCAATGTGTTAACTATTCCTCCTAGCTCCTTGCCGTCTGCAGTCTTGACAAGCATGTCATTTATGTCTTCATCCAAGTCATTTGAGCCACTGGGAGTCTTTGCTCCTTTCCTTCCTGGCTTGGAACATTAACTTCTCCATCTGCTAATTCATGCCCATCCCTTCCTTCAAAACTCTTTCTGAGTCACTTCTACCATGAAGCTTTCCTGGACTAATTCTAGTTAACCTCTATTATTTGAAATTACTCACATATCCTTAGTATTCATAAATATAAACCTGTAATTCATTTTGCATTTAAAAATTAATCTATTTGTATTTTCGCATAGAGTTCTTATTCTACCTCCTCTATTAGGTTGTAAGCTTCTCTGGGGGACTGGATCTATGTGTTTTACTTTCTTTTGTAACTACTTACTGTGTTTTGCTAGGCACAGAAGACCTTTCAAATATTGACTTAACTAGTAGGCAGGCAATTAAAATAGTCAAGATGGAATAGGGGAAACAAAGAAAATATTGCTAGGAAAGCTAATGGAAGCAAGACCATGAAAGATTACATAATTAGAATTTGAGCTGTGAAAATATGAAGGGAAGATACATGAAGATGCAAGATGGAAAAAAATCACACATGATTGAGAGAGGTGAGAGGCAATGGATCAGATAACTGTGAGTCCTCGTAACTCTTAAAACCAGAGAAGAATAAAAGTAATTACTTTTTAAGCAGAGGTGGGCATAAATACACACTTAGGGGAACCTGGGTGGGATAACAGAAAGGGACTCAAGATCTTTGGGAACTCTACTGTTTTACAATAATGTTGAACAAATCTTCCCACTCAGTACTTCTATCTGTAAAACAGAAAAGCTCACAGGTTAGTTATCGCTTTCTTTAGAAACAGGTTCTGAGAATAAATACACTATCTGCAAAGAACACTGTGAGAAAAGTCTGGTAAAATATAAAGTATTTTTACTTTCACTTTCAAAATATTTGTGTTGCTCGGAGGTGCAACCTCAAAATAACAAAAATATTTTTAAATGCAGTTAGGCTCTGTGACACCTCTCAGGAACTTTAATTGTTGGTAATGAAGGAAGAATAGCATTAAAAAAGAGGCCTTTCAGATACATCAGAATTGCCAGCATGTGGTATGCATTGTGCACATAATTTGGTCAACAATCCCTCTAAGTATTCAGTTGCTCATAAACAGATGACTGTGTGCTCTGTACTTCCCTGGTGATTCTGTTTTGAGGAAGGTAATTACATCACCAGCTGGAGAACCTTTAAAGCATGCGGAATGTCAGGTGACACGTACAACACAGACTTGTGACTTTTGAACCCTGTTCAGAATGGCAAACAGGAATGCCAGTCTTATGACCCTCTGTCAAGGGAATTCATCTATCCCCGACAGTCACCTCCAACTTCCCTCTCTCCCAGTAATTTAAGAATTCTCCTCTTCTTATAATGAAACATGACCAAACCCATAGTCGGAGGTCTTTTGTTGGAATCTCATTTGTAATAAATGGGCTCCCAGTCATGGCAACTTCCCTGCTCCCAGGGTCTTCTAGACCTGGAGTCCGCACCCTTCCCCACACAGACCTGCTGCCATCCCTCATGGGACGTCACCAATACCACACATACAGACCCTGGAAACCCCTCAACAACAGCCCTCCACGGTCACCCAAAACTCCACCCACATAGATTCCGCGGACCTGTCACGTCACCCCTCCCCCCACAGACCTCACGGACCTTTCATGTCACCCCCCATAGTGACTCCACGGATCTGTCACATCACCTCTCCCTCACAGGCCCCCACGAATCTGTCACCATCACCCCTCCCCACAGTGACTCCACGGACTTGTCACTTCGCCCTCCTCCCACAGACCTGTCACCGTCACTGCCCCCCCGCCCCCTCTGGCTAGATCCCCTCCACAAGTGTGAGAGAGGGGCTCACGCCCGGCACTGCGAGCCAGGCCGGCTATGGAGCGCGCAGGCCCCGCCCCTTGGCGACTATCGCCGGAAGGCCCGCCCCCGCCCCAGTTGCTAGGCTCTGTCAGTCGGAAGTTCCGCCTCTCGTGCCGCCGCCGCCGCCGCCGTCACCTCCTCCTCCTCCTCCTCCTCCTCCTCCGTCGCCGTCGCCGTCGCCGTCGCCGTCGCCGCCGCTGTTGTTGTTGTTGTTGTCGAGGCCGGGCCCGTCCGGTCCCTTCCGCGGCTCCGAGAGCCGGCTCCGTCCTTCCCCGCCGTCGCCGCCGCCATGAAGTGGATGTTCAAGGAGGACCACTCGCTGGGTAAGGGCCGGGTTGGGGGTGCGGGCCCGAGCCCGGGGTCGGGCAGAGGGAACGGCTGGCGAGGCTCGGCCCGGCCCGAGCCCTCCGCCCCCGCGATCCCCGGCCCCAGCGTCAGCCCTGCCGGCGGCGGAGGGCCGGGAGACCCCGGGGGCGGAGCCGGGGCCGGGGCCGGGGCCGTCGGAGCTGAGCGCGGCGCTGGTCCCGGCCCGGCCCCGGGGCCGCTCGCTCGGACTCTGCCCCGACTCTGGGCGAGGGAAGGGCCGAAGCGAGGACCCCCGCTCAGAGCCCCGTGCTTTGTCTCGTCCACAGAACACAGATGTGTGGAATCTGCCAAAATCCGAGCCAAATATCCCGACCGGGTCCCGGTGAGTACCGAGCGGGCGCCGGCGTGCCCCCCATTCTCAGCCCCGGTCTGGAGGGGGGCAGGGGGAAGGTGCCGGGTGGCCTATGGAGGGCAGCTCCAGCCTCCTGGTTATGTAAAGAGCGAGCTCCTCGGACGGGGCCAGGGGAATGGGGGGGTCACCTTGTCCCGATGCTGGCAACTTTCTTCCCCCGGCCCTTCCGGGTCTATACCTGTCACCGAGAGGCGGGGGGTAAGACACCACCCACCTGAATGTCTTAATTTTTGAGAAAACAGAAATAAGACCGACTAGTGGAAAGAGGAACAAGGGGGGCAGGTCAACAACTTGGTTTCCTAAGTTAGAGCTCCTGGTCATTTTCTGCCAGGTTGTCCAGGGCTGCTGCTGCTTGGGTACTCCGTGGCTTACTAGCTTCCTTACCTTAAGCCAGTCATTTAACCTCTTGTTTTTCCTCATCTACAAAATAATGGAGAGTCCCTTCTAACATTTCTTTGGTAACTCAATTATCTTCTGAGCTGTAATGGTTTTGAAGAACTACAAAGTGTACTTTTCTTCACTTGATTTTCTGACACTCATTTTAGATGTGTTGAAAAAACATTACATTAAAAGCTGTTTTGTTTTTTTTCTATAAATGCCTCTGATCAGGGATTGTGGAATACAGTAACTAACTTCATGGAAGAAAACGGCTCCCCATATAAATATACTCCCTAAAGCATATAATTTTAAGCAGCAAAAGTAGCATTTTGCCATCCCATTATGTAGTTCTCTTCCTCTAAATCCCCTGACATTTCTAGCACACAGTGCCTTCATCAGCTTCCCAAGCACATGACAGATTAAAGCCTTTATTTCAGAAGCCTAATCCTGACCTCTGCTTTTCCAGGTAATTGTGGAAAAAGTCTCAGGCTCTCAGATTGTTGACATTGACAAGCGGAAGTACCTGGTTCCATCCGACATCACTGTGGCCCAGTTCATGTGGATCATCAGGAAACGGATCCAGCTACCCTCCGAGAAAGCAATCTTCCTTTTTGTGGATAAAACAGTCCCACAGTCTAGGTGAGAGGTAGTCACTTACTGATGCTTTGCCCACTTATTTTGATGGTTTGATTGTAGTACTCAGAAGTACTTTTTGGCCTTTAATTTCTTACGGATTGAGGTTGAAATGAAGGCTTTTGTTTGCATGTAATAACTAGAAGAAAGGGGGAAGATGCCATGGTATTATCCATCTGTACCAGGGCAGACTCTGAAGTGGAGAATACACAGTTAAGAAAAGTGAATCCCCCAGAACAATGGAAAGCAGCTTTCTGGGGCTGAGTCTTAAACACCAGATCTTAGGCTGGAGACAAAGGTCTCCTTTAACAGTCCCTGAAATCAATTTGGCCCATGCTGCCTGGAGCTCTTCATTAGGCCTTGCAGAGTCCTAGACTTGAACTAGTCACCCTCTCTGCCTCGTCTCCAAATGCTTCCATCAGCTTTTCTCATTGCAGTCGTTTTGTTGTTTTTTTTTTAGCTGTCTGATTATTGTGTCATTTACTAGGGCTGGTTTCCTGTAAAGGGCTATGAGAATTACATGGATTGTTAGGTCCCTGTTCTTTTTGACTCCTTTTTATCACTTCTTGTTTTGGCTGGCAATAGAGTAACTTCAGGGCTGTAGTTGTTTTCCTGCTTGGAACTTCATTCTAACTGGTATCTTGAGACCTAAAATCTAGTTTCAAGACAGTCTTATTCTCCCACTATGTGTTGGCCTTGTCAGCTTTTATCTTCCTATGAAAGAGAATAGACTTAAACTCTTTTTTTTTAAAGGCAGTTGGGGTTAAGTGACTTGCCCAGGGTCACACAGCTAGTAAGTGTCAAGTGTTTGGTCTGAGGCTGGATTTGAACTCAGGTCTTCCTGACTTCAGGGCTGCTGCTCTATCCACTGCCCAACCTAGCTGCCCGACTTAAACTCTTGATCACGTCTTCTCTTACTGTACATTGATTACTCTCAGGCCTATGGCCAGATTCTAGTTTCCTGTTTTGCTTTGCTGTCTGAAAGGGGGTTCCTGGCCCTTTGTAACATCAGAGACCAGAAGAAAGTCAAGACTGGTTTAGGCTCAGTCTGTTTTCCAAAAACCCCAGTGTGGACAAAATGCCCTTGATTTGGAAACCTTTGAGGCTCCAGAGGAGGGGTCTAAACCAAGCTCATTCTTTATTTCTTCTAAAGGTTAACAGCTCTGATTTTTTGGGGTGTTAACTCCTTTTTCCTTAGTCTCTTCAACAGTATCTCCTTGCTTGTGCTAGGTAGAAACAAATAAGAAGTAAGATCTTGGCCTTGTAGGGTTGATTCCTACCTTAAAAGGAAAAGTCAAGCCATGCCCCACTGAGGTTCTTGGGCTAGTCACAGCTGTCTCGGGGAAGTTTCAGGGTTATTAGGAACAAACTTGTCACTTTGGTGTCATCTCTTCTGACCCTCCCTCTCAGAGGCCTGTGCAGGAGTGAAGGGCAATGCATTTCTTGGTCCTACTGTCTGAAACTCTAGCAATCAAGTTTAAGAAGCTGTTTTGCTTCATCTTAGAATAGGATATGTGGTAATTAGGTGTTTTTTTTCTTTGTCCTTCATTATGAACCTTTGAAGAAAATGAAAGCAAAACGCAAAACTTGGTGAGATCACTTCATTCTGTGATTGCTGCACTTTAGTATGTCAGAAGGGCTCTAAGCTACTCTTGCCTTTCCATTAGTGAGGTGATGTAAATGGGAGAAGTGCCAAGTGATTTTATCCTACCAGGCTATTTCATAGCCACTTCCTCCCAAAGCTCAAGCCTAGGGAGGTTCCATATATTCAGTGAACTACCTTAGCATTTTACAAAATGGCTAACCGGGGATTTAAAATCCATGCTTTGCTTCTGTAGTATTGTATGCAGAAGTCTTGTGGAGAGATAGATGCCTACTGAGTAATTTCAGATAACTAGTCAGTTTGGAGCCTTAGCCTGTTAATTCTTGATTAATGGCTTTTCTCTTCACACTCTGAAATAGCTGTTGCTTTTGTCTTTGGGGTTGTAGTTATCAAAATAAGCTTATTAGGTAACAGAAAGTAACAAATGTCATTCTTAGTAACCACAGATTCAGTCCCTATGTGATACAAGTACAAGTATAAATTCAAGTAAATGCCAGTGGAGTTCTGCCAATGAGGAGCTCCCTTTTCCTTCCATAAGAATTTTCTTCTTCCATACTGCAGTTTTTAGCAACCCCGCATGATACTGTGGTTTTGTTTATACCACCTCCCTCAGTTGTTTCCAGGCACTCCTGTGTCAGTGTGAAAGTTTTGGGTGTTGCTACTGAAATTGACTTCATTGATAGGTCTAAAGAATTTGATTCCTAATGGTTTGACTTTTTATATTCCTTCTAAATTCCAGTGTCTTTAAGAAGGGGTATCCCAATTGCTATTTTTTTCCACTGGAAATCTGTGTTATTTGTAGCATTCTGTGTTAATTGGAAATCTGGCCAAATGAAACTGCAAGACATTTCCTGATGCTCATAGAGTCTGAAAAGGAATGTTGTGAGAAGCAGTCACAAAATCAGTCAGTACTCTGGGGCTGGCATTACAGAGAACACCAAGACATAGCAGCATGTTTATCTTCTAGTTTTGTTTATTTGAAGCCAGGTTATGAATCTTGCTGATGGTTACCACGTTTGAAATAGATTCAAGAAAGTGCTGTTTATGAGATTGTTATAGGTACACTGAGCTCTTTAAAGGTAAAATTTTATTTATTTGTTTATTTATTTCATATTTATTTATTTTAGGCAATTGGGGTTAAGTGACTTCCCCAGGGTCACACAGCTAATAAGTGTCAAGTGTTTGGTCTGAGGCCGGATTTGAATTTGGGTTCTCCTGACTTCAGGGCCGGTGCTCTATCCACTGCACCAACTAGCTGCCTCCTGGGAGGTGAAATTTTAGGTGGTTATATGAAACGTAGTACTTAAATGAACATTTGATCCTTATTGGGTGAACCTGAAATTCCTCATCAAGAAGAAACTTAGTTTGGCAGTGGAGGGAGAAGAAAGATGATGATTAAAGAAGCAACCATTTGTAATTGCCCCTTTTTCCTCCCTTCTCCCTTGGTAGTTCCATCTTTCCTCCTTTCTCACTTGTATTTTCAAGCCTTTGATCTTATTTTGAATTACTTTATGGTACCTTCAGGACCTTGTAATAACTTCAGCTACTGCCATTCACTGCAACTATTACAGTCCTTTGGCAGCTGCAAAAATACTCTGTTGGAAAGGAAGGGCTTCAGAGGTCTATAGGAAGCACTGGGTGTGCTGGATAGCCCCAGCTTTGTCATTGAGCCTCTTAGAGGTTCTGTTGCAATGCAAGTGCGGAGTGCCCATAGATCCTCAACGTGTCAGCCCAGTCTGTTGGGTCCAGTGGACTGCTGAGCAGAACACAACTGATGTTTCCAGTGATCTAGCCATTTCTGGGTTAGGACACTGCTAGAATTATACATTTATGTTTTACTAAATTGTGTAATTAACTTTTCCCAGCTAGCACAAAGAAACCAAGACGCAGAAGTCCTAGAACTGGGTTGGGGGACGCCACCATCTTTACAGGAATATTTCACTTTGAGGACCTCAGTGACCTAGCACCCATCGAGTCAGCTTTGAACCTGTAGTCTACTTCTTGCTCTATTTTCCTTTTTCCTTAAGATAGTCTGGTACACCCAGCAAGTGTCTGCTACATCGGTGTCCAATAGTAGCATGTTTTCTAAATGAGCCAGTTTATATGGGCACAGGGACACATGCAATGTGGATATGCCTTTCATAAAAAATAGATAACTTTGTCTTACTGCCAGGCACCAGGTCAGATACTGTACTGAGAAAAGCAGTCCACCCCAGTGGTTTTTCCTTCAGTTGGAGTTGCAAGTTGGAAGGATGTGCAGAGAGCTGCTAGCACACAGCCTAGCAAGCATGAGGCTTATAGTGCCACTTGAGGATCCTCTGAGGATAGCAAAGGAGCATACTTAATGGGGGTGTGGCCAGTTGAGCAGGTTGAGCACAGTAGTATAGGGCTGAGAGGGCAGAAAAGTTCAACCTTCCTGGAAGTCATGCAAAGAACATCTCAGGCTGGCGTACCAGCTGATGCCACCCACATGAGACTTCTATCATTGCATGGTTTCTTAGATCATACTTAGGTATGTGTGTTATTTTCCTTTTTGATGGAGCAGAGGAATTTCTGCTTTTGTGGTTTAGCCTTTTTTCACCTCAGGGTTAAGTGGCTCCCTGTGTTTTGATGACAGTTTTCTTGGGATCATTAGGTTTTATTGCAACACCATTAGTTTGTTCCTGCCTCTCTAGCTCAGGGCTTGGCACTGTCAAGTATCACCCTTCTTAAGGGGCTGAAGGTTATGGGTTCATGTTTAAAATACATTTGCCACTTAAAGTTTCCAGGTAGATTATTATGACTGAGAAAAAGCTAACAGTACCAGTGACACTTTAGGTCATTAGTGTGGACCACTTCACAGAGGAGCCAGCTACTTGGTGTCTTAGATAACCTGTAGAAGCTAAATGGGAGATTCTTTTCATGGAATGAATTTTTTTTATTAGTTTATTTTGATTTATCAGTAATCACTTCCATATGCTTTTGAGTTTAAAATTTTTCTCCCCCTTCCACCCCACCATTCTCCCGAGGATGGTGCACAATCTGATATAGGCTATACATTTACATTCCTATAAAACATATTTTCACATTA